ATATATATATATTTATATATATATATATATATATATATATATATATATATATATATATATATATATATATATATATATATATATATATTCTGGTGAAAATGCAATCTTAGGAGAGAAATGAGAATGAATCTGGTGCTTTAGATTGTGAGATCTAAGGGTCAAGATTTCATCAAAATTAGATGCACCAAAATGGTACGAAAATGCATCACGTCGAAATGCACCATAAACCTTCGAAAATGCACTATCTCAAAATCTGAGCGCATGATGCAATCTGAGCCGCACGATGCATCAGATCCGACGGTTAGATTTTATTCTCATTTCTCTCCACAAGGTGCATTCTCACGGGAACCAGCCCCTATATATATATATATATATATATATATATATTTATTTATTTATTTATTTATTTATTTATTTATTTTTATATTTATATTTATATTTATATTTTGATGATTTACATTTATATAAAATGTTTACATGTTAACAAAAATTTGTACTAACATCTTGCGTCTGTGTGAACTATCACCCTAACATTACACTGACAAAACATGAAGATGTATATATATGGTGTACAAATAAGGATACAAATCTTAGGATACAAATAGCTTAATCCATCTCAACAATTCCCCCATCCATATCATCCCAATTGTTAAACCACTCGAAATTCCACATGGGTTTGAGGTGTGGAGTTTCAAACATTTTCTCAAAACTTCAATCTCTCTTTTAATACACTCTGATAAATTTATGGAATATTCTGTTTATGTGGCCCCATTTAAAAATGGGTTAGTTTCGGCTTCGGGAGAAGGATCCTTGTTCATTGTGGCAAAGAAACTTTTCCTCAATATGATCTCACATTACATCTGTCGTTTGATCACAACATTTAAAAAAGAACATATAAAACTTATCAATGATAGGATGCTCCGAGATGTCGACCCACGCGGACGCCAACAAAACTTCTTCCTCCGGTATCTATTTTTGAATCGATTGTGCTGCCTCAATCATCGGTTTTTTGGTCCTCGATTGTGGCTTGTGACTTCCGGCATGCACTTTTTTCTGGAACCGACTCTGGGTCTCCTAAATTCACCGACCCTGTTTGGATTTCGAAAAACGTCAAATTATTCCCGTACGTTTGGTAAAGTCACATAGCATACTCATTAGACGCAAGACCGGTTGGAGAACCGGAAGAAAGATTCATGACAAAATTTAAAAACTAGAGAAAGATATGAAAGAGGAGAAAGAAGAGAGAATGAGAATATGTCGTGAATATATATTTTTTAAAAAAATGAGAGTATTTATAGTTGAGAAATTTAAAAAAAATAAATTTGGCAACAAAAAAAAAAGGGCTCGAATTAAGGAGGTGGCCATTTCTGCTACCCTTATAACATGGTCCACACACACTTTTCATTCATATCTTACTTTTCATTCATATCTTGGTCACTCTTTTGCAAAATGTTGGTTGCATTTTTTTTGAAAAGCATCTTGGTGTATGACATTATAAATTTTGGATTATATGGATAATGTTTACAATTTCACACATTGTATATATGGAGTACAAGTGTCATGCAAATGGTGGGACAAGTGTTTGAAGTTTTCAAGAAACCTTATTTTGCAAATAGTTCCAAAATTAATTCTTTGAAATCAAACAATTAATTCAAAGTAGTGCTTTTCCATATGAGATGTGTAATAGTTGCACTCTATAATTACTCCCTCCATCCCAAAATATATTACACATTTACCATTATAGTTTTCTAATAATTTATTTTTGTTTTCATGTTTTTTATTGATCATTTGACCAAATAAATTCATGTAGTAATTTTTAAGAATGCAAGTTATATTTTCTTGGCTGTATAACAATTTGTAAATAAATATACTTTGTGTACTCTAATTTAAAACGGAGGAAGTATAAATTTTCAACAGTGTTTCTCTTGAGTCTTACCCACCCCATCTTTGAAGTGTCAACCCACTCACGTTGAAGCAACCAAAGGACAAAACTCCTATACAAATCTTGAGCAACTACTCCCTCCGTTCTCAAAAATACTTCCTCTTTTATTTTTTTCACTTTCAACAAAACAATTCCATTTTCTATTAAAAAACCACTTATACCCTTACTTTTTCATACCTACCTATCACATCATGCTTTTTCTCTAATAATCAATATATCTCATCTTACTTTTACTCATCACATCAAGAGCAAAATTGGAAGTCAATTATAACTTAACACTTCCTTATTTTGGCTCCAAGTCAAAGTAGGAACCTTTTTTGCAAACGGAGGGAATACATTAGGAGTATTATTTTAAGTACTAGAGTAAATATTGCGTGCTTTTTTTTAAAGGGTCCGAAAGGTCCTCTTATTTTAAAACATAAAAACAATAAATAAATAAATGAAAAAGGGAACCATTCCTCAGACCGCAGCGGACAATCCACTCTCAATTACCTCACAACTCAAAAATTACAAGGATCAAAAGACAAGAGAGAGAACCCAGGAGTCCTAACAACAGTGCTCAAACACCAGTCTCATTTGTTTTCCACCTAGTGCGGATGCTCACTAGAAGAAAGACACTGGAGGTGCCATAAAATCTCTTCGAGATAGGCCGAGCCTGTGCCTGCTCATTGTTTAGAAGTTTGTGTTCCCGCCATTTGACATTACTGAGAGAATATTAGTAACAGAAGCCATGGCACTCAAAGCTGCCTTAAGCACATCTTGCGTGCAACCTGGTTTCACAATTGTGCGTACCTGGAAATCCAAAAATTTTGAATACTTGTACACAAGCAAAATGACCATTCACTCCAAATAGGTTCACACTTTTTTACGGTTCTCAAGTCCTGTAGATATATATGTCTTTGTAGTAAATTGAAGAAAAGTTGAGTACCTTATCAAGATATTCCTGCAACTCCTTGATACGGCCCATGTAATCCTGGTCCTCGACACAAAGAGTTAAAGCCTTTGCATCAGCACCTGGGCCATCAAACTGAAGAGGTCCTGGATTCCTGTATACATCATCCAACAAGAACTTTGTGGCATTCTGTCTCAACAGCCTGCAGCAAAAGTGAATCCCTGTACGTTTAAGAGTCTGTACCACATTTAAATATTCAAGGATATAGCCATGGATTCAGAAAATCCTGTGTTGAACTAACAGATCAATTGAATATATTAGGTGGTACTGGTTTGGGAACTTCATGACTCATAATGTTGGTTCACATTATTCTACAAGCTAAGTGTGCTAAAAAGACAAGGGGAGGGGAGTGCCGGTGGTGGCTGGTGTCTGTGGGAGATCAACAGAGGTGAGCCTAGTTTAGAAGGGAGACAAGGTATGGACTGTGGATGTAGTTAAGCAAGGATAATATGAGCTTAGAACATTCTAGACTACGTCATACTTGATGCACAATCT